AGTAGTGAAAGGAAGAAATACAAACTTTGTTACAATTTAAATGAATATGAAACAACTCCTGGATATGCTTTCACTCTGACATTACAAAGTTGAGTCCATTACAAACTGAGTGCCTTCCTGCCTTCTGCCTTCACTGTGTACCGGTTCTGGAGCTTTCCTAGGTGTAGGTGAGTAGAGTTTCTAGAATCTCAAAACAGTGGTATTTGTCAAGGTAACACCAGTGCTGTGCCTTGCCCAAAACATAGGTCTGAAGATAAAAACAGATTGAAAGAATGCGAGATGAATTTCAGTTCTATTCAGAAGCAATTCCAAAGCATTTTGAAGACTTAGATTTATGACTTTTCCCTTGCTCTTATATATTTCAGGGCAACTTTCATGTTCCATTTTCGACAACCCAGATAGAATATTGAGATATGCTTGGTAGTGAATATGAGAGGTTATGAGAAAAAAAAATTCTACCAAAGAAATAAATTGAAAATCGGTTTTCCTTTTATTGTGGTAAGACCAGAAGGAAGGGCTGGGAAGATCCACAAGGGAGGAGAGATTTTGTTCCTGTGCACACTGGATTGCCCAGAATGGCACTGATTCAAACTCTGAAAAAAAAAAAAAAAAAAAAAAGAAAGAAAAAAAAAAAAACTCTGCTTGTGACCCAGTCTAGATTTAGAAAAGCTGAGCTCTTTAGTAACAGTGAGAAAAATTGACAAAATTTGTTTATTTCTGTTGATTTTTTTTTCTTCTTATACATTTGTGGATCAACACTGTATTTTAAAGTCTATCCAGGAAAACAGCACAAATACAAATGTGGATTCACAAATCAAACCTTCAAAAGGGACTCTTCACTAGCAAAATCACCTCAAGAAGAAAGTTTAAACCACTTTGTCTTAATGCACTAAGACCAAATTCAAAGAGCCCCCCAATACAGTCTTGCCAACCTATGTCTAACCTTGCTAGTTTTTATTGTTGGTTTTGTTCTGTTGTTGAAGTGGTGGTGGTTATTATTTTGTTGTTCTTGTTGCTGTTACTATTGTTGGACTATGAAATTCAACTTAAGTATCCAAAGAGCAAAACTGTACAGTGGTGAACTGATTAAAGCAGAAAAGTCCCATAATCCCAGCATTAAGGCCAAAGGAAATTAAAACATACTCAAATAGCAGCATGCATTCATAAAAAAGCTCACAACTGGACTGCATAAGAAATATTGATCTTCAGCTTTGAATATTCTCACTTTGGCTACTATGCATGATTGGAGTCAGTACCCTCTATGCTGGAATTCCTTTGAAGGCCTTGACTCATATAGACAGAACATCAGGTTCAGGGTAACTTTATTGAAGTGAACTACATCTGAGCCTGCTTACAAAAGAACCAAGAATATTCTTACTGAAGTGAAGGAGTGGAGATATTGGAAAGAACAAATAGGAAAATTACTGATGTCATCAATGCTTTTAAAAATTGCAATAGGTGTGATGGGTAAAGTTTTATTTAAATAGACTTGAGTAAATGAAAATTGTCTCCATCTCTTGTTTAAACTTCACTGATCCACTTACATTCATTTCTTTTCTAAATACTATTCAATATTTGGAATATTATTCATTGGAAATAACTGTAAAACCTTCCAAATATGACCCTAAAAATAGCCCATTAAAAGGTGCTTTTTGTCTTTGTACTTGAATTTACCTGGTGACTCTGGCCTTTTACATGCCAAGCAGTGCTTTCAGGTGAGTAAAAGAATTCTAAGACTCCACTGGCTTTAGGTACTCTGTGCAAATGTTTCTAATTTAAAAATAAAATTCCAAATGCTAGAAAATAGAAAGGCTCTTTGTATACTAGACAAAAATCAGTGTTCTCCCTTACATAGGGTCCTGCCTTTAGCTTGAAAAATTTGAAAACTAACCTACACTTCAGACACAAAATGATTCAAAGAGACTTTGAGAAAAATAATCACCTAGTAGCAATATTTTTAAGATATTTGTCTTTAAAGATTCTGAAGGGAAGGCAAGTACTGGCCTACAGAGAAACCAAGAGATTTCAGGGACATGCAGGAAACTTTTGGTCCAGATCATGGCTCGAGAAACAAGAATCAAATTCTAAGCTCTCATCCTTCTGCTGTATAAGTGAAATCATTTTTTCTTCAATTCTACACAAAATTATTAACAGTTTTCTACACTGAACCTTCCTCTCTGCAAAAATAGTTTTTGTTTGCAAGGAACCTATTATCCATTAGCAAGTGTGTTTATTCTTAGTGAACAAGCTTCTTCCACTTCAAAGAGCTATGCTGCCTTTACACACAAGATCCTTCTGATTGCTCGAAGACGAACACAAAGAAATTTATTCTTTAAGCCTTGAGATGTTCAACTCAAGAGCCAAGACTCTGGCCATTAAAGAATTTGTGGGTTAGTCTCACAAAAATAGAGCATCTTCTGTATCTGTCCTCAGGTGCCACAGCACCATCCATGACTTTCATTTAAAAGAAAAACAGAAGCCAGGAAAAAGGAAATTTCTCTCCAGGGAACTTTAGTGACATAATCAAAACAAGTAAAAAAATATGAACATCAGATATTCAGACAATAATTCAGCCTACAGCAGCAGTGCTGATAATCCCTTGAATGAAATCTTTATATTCTTTTGTTAATCATCCTGCAGTCTTGGATGAAAAAAATAATTAAACTATACTTTTTCTTTAAATTACCATACAACCTATGTATTTAAACTTACATTTTTTTATGGAAACTATATAATAAACCTTTCATTAAAATTTTCCTTGTTGATGTATGCAAACCAGGTCAGTTTCTGCTGGATTTGCATACTTGGTTTTATCCCTAATTCAACTTCTTGTTAAAGGTTTAAAACAGAGAAAATGTCAGATTACAAATAAAGCAAATACTGCTTATATGTCTAGTGAACACTGACACCATTTACAGGTTTTCCCCCTCTTTTCCTTGGGGTAGAGAGCCCTGTCAATAATCATTACTTATTAAAAAGGCTGCCATTCCCTACTACAGGATGTAGAAAGAGAGCACAGAGAGGCAGAAATAATTACCTTGGGCTTTTCTTTAAAGCCCTCCCAAGAATGGAATGAAAGGAAATCAACTAAGAACATGAAATACCCCCATCATGTGCCATCTCTCCACACGAGCATACACACAAGGTTGGGAAGTACACCCACACTCCATTATTCATATCAACTGCATCAAAAGGATTAAAAAAAATCTGGGGTCTTCCAGAGAGAGAGAGACACCTATTTTCAATCCATTGAATATGCTCATACTACACTTGCAAATCCTTTATCCCTCCACAAAACTCAAGCTAGATTTGCTAAAAGGAGTCTCTAAGCACCTACTGAGAAAATGTGCTCTTAGAAATGACTGCTTCAACCAAAGCAGAGAAGAGCTGCAAGTTACTGGCTCTACTGCCATTCTGGCTTGTGGCAGATTCCTTCCTTCCCCTTTCCTTCCTGTCTCCCAATTCGTCTGCTAGCCTCCCCCGCCCCCCATAGCAGACTATAGGCAAAAGGACTTGATTCTGGAACTTACTAACAAGTACACAAATCCTATCTTTTAAAAAAGTTTCAAGGGTTAAATAACACCCTTGGTAAGATCACAGGTAAGTGATGTGAAAAATTACCAGATGACTGAAAGCAAATCCTGTGTTTTTACCAGCACGGAAGAGTTAATGATGAGCACTCTTTCTTTCCCCAGATGTTAGGGCTCAAAACAGAAATACAGTATCAAGACAGCATAACCTGACAGTTTTTGCAGAATAGGCTTGCACAGAACTTGAACTGGCATGCTGGGGTTTGTCCTAAATAACCTTCACAGGTTGCACAAACTGTTCCCATATCCTGATCAATAGTCAGATAAAAAAGGTTCCTGAGAATTCTTTAGAGTAAGAATAAGGTGAGGGGTGGGGGTGGGAGGTCAATTAGCTACCTAAAACGTTAATAAAAATAGAAAACATACACCTCCAAAACATAAGATGCTGTTTGCTTTGGGTAATCTGGCCAGTACTGGCACCAATTGCACCCAGGATGAACATGCTACCTCCTAAGGGTGACATGTTTCAAAAGCATTGGATGTTCTCACCCTCCAGTGCAGAGAACTCTGTCCCAGACCACCTATATTTTACAGGAACTGAGAGGAGATGAGGTTCACACCCCACCTTTGGGAAAGGAACAAAAGCTAACGCTTGGCAGAAGTGTGTATTGGGGTGAGGGAGAACCCTTCTCTTTCCACAGGACCTTAGAACCCTAGAGGTGGCAACTCTGCAGGGCTCCTTTCATATATCCTTCTAGTTAACTCACAGTCAGTGGACACAGAATCCAACAATCAATTTCTGTACCTTGGAATGGCTACCGAAAGGCTGAGGGGTGATCAGTTTAGCCCTTTGCCTAGGATCATCTCCTTTCCCTACCTCCCCCAATGGTTTCTAATTAACCCTTCCAGGTCCCCTCCTGGGCTGGAAGCATCTTCCCTACATTCTACCAACATCCCCAACAAATAGCCATTCCCCATGGGACATAACTTCCCTTTGTGGTTTACCCTCGGTCAATTTGCGAGTGCTTTTGTCCCCTTCCTTCCCAGCAGCGGGCGGGGAAAGGGTTGGGAGCTTTGGGGAAGGCCCACCCTCCCTCTGTAACCCTCTAAAGGAACCCGATTCGGGAGCTCGCCGGCAGGTCTGCAGTGAGAAGGGATCACACTGGAGTTAACCCTTTGAAAGGAGTTGGGAGATCGGTTCTCATTTGGGACCCACTAAAGTAGGACCGGTGGAGCTTGAGGATCTACCTCTCTTTCTCATCCCCCAGACTCCACACACAGTCCCACAACAGGCCGACGCCTTTACCCTCCGTGTGACCAGTTGGAACCATCTTCCATGCTCTGCCCCAAACCTGGGATGGCGGGGAGGGGCAGGGGGGTGTTAAAGACAGGCAGCTAAGGGGAAAGACAGCAGGAGAGCAGAAAGGAAACTCGGTAGTAAATTATAGTTGAGACAGCGTGTTTACTTACGAAATTTGGGGCTGGTGATAGTTTCTGGTGTAGTGGTGGTGGAGAAGGAGGAGGAAGAGGAAGAGGAGGAAGAAGAGGCGGCAGCATCCTGAAAGGGAGACAGGGTCCAGGAGGGAGTAGAATCATGAAGGTAGGAGGAGGTAGCATATGCCGCAGTGGGCCAGGAGGGCATCGCCTGGGTACTGGGGGTTCCTGGCACTGGGGGTCTGGAGCCCGGCGTGCTGCTACTGAAGAAAGGGACGGTGGTGGACAGGACCGTCGGGGGGACCGCAGTGTTCCGTGCTGTGGTGGAGCGCGGGCTGGCCCGGATAGGCACTCGGTGCCCGGGAAAGCGAGTGGGTGCCCGCGTGATAGTGGTCAGGCGAGTACTAATCCGGTTGGGCGTCC